GATCAGCCGAATCAACCCTGGCGATCAGTGGGGTGACAGATGTCGCAGCCAGATCGCCCTCACATCCAAGAAAACAGATTTGATTGTAGGCTGCTGTGGTGAAAATAATAGGGTACCTGAGTAGAGAAGAAACCAAGTGGCCCTGCTGTCCTCCACAGGACAGAGAAGCCCTCGTCAGTGCTTTGGGTTTGAGGCTCAGTGTTTAGAGTTGAAGACAAAATGGAGCCCATTCAGAAGAGAGAAACTTGTATCAAGTGGGAATTAAAATCCCAGCCATCAGTATCATAATGGTTGCTCTATGCAGGCACTGTACCAAGGCTTTAAAACACTGCCTCTCGCCCTTACAAGGACCTTATCATCAGCTCTATTGTTGAGAAAATTGGGGCTCCAAAAACTTAAATAACTTGTGTATGTTATCGGCTTAGTAAATAGCAGAGCTGGAATTTAACTTAGGTCTTTGTGAAGTATAATTGATTAAGTTGAGAGTGTTTAACTAGAAAATAGGGCGCTCAGAGAAAACATGATGGGTACTTTGTGACTTTTTTGAGGTCTGATCTATTAGATGTGCTTAAAAAAGAGACCCTGTAGCTAGAATTGGGAGGTACCAACTCGGTATAAAGAGCTAAGAATCATAGCCATCCAGAGGTGGGAAACTGCTCTGACACAGTGAGTTCCCATCACCCTGAAGTATTTAAGCATAGATTCATGATTGTTGCAGTTTATTTTAATTTAAAATTTTCTTTTGAATTATTTTGATTCCATGTTAGAAGCTTTCTTTAAATTTCTAGTGATTATTGGGTATCCATCCAGTCATACTAAGGATAAAGTACTGAATATTTAATTGAATACAAACCTTATTATAGGGTGATGAGGCAGAAGTGTCAGAGGGGAACCATCAGCCATTAGTATTTTTCAAATCTGCGTCTATAGATATTTTCTTTTGGCCAGCTTTTCAAGAAAATACTCCTGCCTCCTGCACAGGGATATATGAAACTGGTTACCAGCATTCAGGAAGTAGGCAGAGGTGGGGGTGGGGGTGGCTTACCATTTACAGGAAACTTAGTTTATTCTGTCCAGCAGTGTACTCCAAGCCAGGGAGTTTCATGTCTGGAATGTCTCTAATCCACTACTCTAGTGAACATACAGCCCCCTGCACTAGTGGGGAAAGATAGCCTCCTGCCTGTTGGGATTGCCATATGCAGTGAGAGAGAGGACTGCTACCTGCTTCCTACGTGGACTTCAGCTGAATTCCTGTTTTCATTCAGATGCCAGCTTTTAAAGAACCTGGTGCCTTCAATTTTTGAAACCTTTTAGGGTTTCTCTAAGATGGTGTCATTTTGTTGAGCAGAAGTAATTGTGTGTGTTCAGTCCACCATGTTTAACTGGAAATTTATATTTATGTTTTCTAAACTTTTAATCATACTTGAGTTTCTAAATTTTTCTGGAAGTCATTTTGGCCCTTTGAATTTATGTCTACCTCTAGGCCAGGGTCAGAAGACTTTGCTATTAAAGATGAGAGGGTAAATATTCCAGGCCTTGAAGACCATATATGTGGTGGATGTTGCATAGCCTTTGGTTTTCGTTTCCGCTTTTTGGTTGTTTTATAACTCTTTAAAGGTAAAAACTATTCATAGCACACAGGCTGTAGGTCAGCAGCAGAGCGTTTGCCTAGCATCTGAGAAACCCTGGGTTCCATCCCTGGTGTGGGAGGGACAAAACCAAACGGGGTGGGTGCTTTAGTAGTCTTGAGGTAAAGTACGGGTTTAAGATAACCTCTGTTGGTCTTTACTTTCATAGAAAATGAGCTTTGTTGTAATGTTGCTGGACAAGTGTCAGCTCGTGATCTTGTTAGTCAGCTCACTTGAGAAGGGTTCCTTTGTCCCAGTCCTCATACTTCTCAAGGTAACCAAGTACTTCACAGTGACAGGATAAGGATGGGCCTTCACACTTCACACTTCACACAATCTGCAGATGGCTCTGCAGCGTCTTTCCAAGCATCATTCGTTTGTTTTTGGTTGCCATTAAGAAGCAGAATTCCAGAATTGATTGAATTAAATAACTACAGTAATTAGCTCTGAATAGTAGTACCTTGGATCATGCCTACATTCCTTCCTGGCAGAACTGAAGAGAACCTTCATCTGGAACATGGCCCTGGGTAAAGATGTTTGAGTTTCAGCAGGCTTTTTCTTTGTGCAGTTAATGGTAGTTAATCTTTCTTGCTAACTACATGTAATACCTGTGGAACCAAAAATAATATAGAGGAAAATTATTCTCACCTGATTTTAAAAACTAAACAAACCCTTGTGATGTATAAACTAGAGTCATCTGAAAAGAAGAAAGAAGCAAAGGTTTCTTTGTAATACTACCGTGTCCCCAGTAACTTAGATTGGAAGGGGTTTCATTTTTCTGATGTCTTTGAACTTGAGAACATCAACACATTATGGACTGTGGTATACTAAAGATAGCTGGGATTAGCACAGCCTCCTGGGTTTTGTGTACTCCTTCAGAGAATAAGTGATCTGTTAACTTTGTCCCAAGGGCTGAAGATAAGTTGCTTTGATGTTTTTTTTGAGGTGGGGTTGTTTGCTTATTTGCCTGTTTTTGTTTTGGCTCCTCCACCCATGGAACCCAGGGCCTTGTACATGCTAAGCATGTGTTCTACTACAGATCCACACCCCCAGCCATGCTTTGACTTTTTAAAAGTGCAATTAAAAAGAGGAAAAAGTGTTTCTGTTTAAAAAAAGAGTATTTATGCTAATTGTAGAAAATTCAGGAAAATGAAAACTAAACTAAATTAATGTATAATCCAGTCTTTCTAATACAGTTATTAGTTATTATAATAATAACATTTGTTACGTTTTATTTTCCTTGATTTTTTTGGAGACAAAATTGAACCCAGCTAGAACAACCCAGCTAGGGCTGGCAGGGTGGCTCAAGTGGTAGAGTGCCTGCCTAGCAAGCTTGGGGCCCTGAGTTCAAACCTCAGTACTTAACCACCCCCAAAGATTAATTTTTAAAGATTCAGTAACAGGATTTACAGGGTTATAGAGGAATTCTTCCATGGAAATGCCAATATAATTCACTAAAATGTATTACTGTTTTTGCTTGTTCTTACAGAAATTAACCCATAAAGACAATTTCTTTAGTGAGATTTGTTGAGTGTGGCTTTGGTGGTAAACAAAACCACTGAGCACTATGGGCCATGGCAGTGTACAAATCTGTTGGACTTTGACCAGGAGTAACACTAAAACAGTGCTAGTTGTCTTCCTTTTTTAATATTTTGTTGATTTGCATTATAACATCCTCAAATCCTGCAACTCTGCTCTGCCTATGCATGAGTCACTTTTTAGTGCTGGGCGCTAGACTAACAAGTTTGTTAAATGATGGGGACAGTTTCCTTGTTTACTTATGGCTCCCATAGTCCACTGCACCTAGTTCAAAATACCTAATGGCTGGGTGTGGTGGCTTAAGCCTGTAACCCTAGCTACTCGGAAGGCAGAGATCCTGGTTCCTGGCTAGTCCAGACAAAAGTCTGAGAGACCCCATCCCAACCAGTGGCTGGGCATGATGGCTTGTGCCTGTCATGCCAGCTATGACGGGAAACACTAACAGGAGGATCTCTGTCCAGGCCTGCCTGGGTATAAAGCGAGACCCTATCTCAAAAGTAATCAATATGAAAAGGGCTGGCAGAGTGGCACAAGTGATAGAGTACCTACCTAGCAAGTGTGAGGCCCTGAGTTCAACATCCAATACCACACCCCTCCACACACACACAAAATACCAAATGCTTTACATAAAACAAATTTATCATCATTTAGAAAACGGACCTCTCTCCACAATAGCGGCTGTTGTTTGTGCTTATTCTACTTACCAAAAAGGCAACTTATCATTGATTTTAAATCTATGGCTACCATAACTTTATAGTATAGTTTATAGTATAGTACATACTCATGGTCCTCTTGCCTTAGCCTCCCCAGTGCCGGGAGTGCAGAAGTGTGCCACTATGCCTGCTGTTGGCTTCACTCTTAATTGCCCATGTGGAAAACTGCCAGAGCTAACCAAAATAGGAAGGAAGCCAGAGGATCTGTGAGTTGTTATAATAATATGCTATAACCTTTGAAACAGCAGTAGAACCTTTCACTTTGAACAAACTGATAGGTTAAGCAGCTCACAGCTCAGCCATGTATGAGGGCAGATTTAAACCCAGGGCCCACCACAACACACTGCCTAGTTGGAAGGGTGAGTTTTGAATAGAGCCTGTGAAGTATGAGCTGTCTGTGCGTGCTCATAATCACACTGATCAATACGAAGTTGCTGGGCTGCCGCATGGCTCAGGCAGTAGAGTGCCTGCCTAGCAAGTGTGAGGCCCTGAGTTTAAACCCCAGTGCTGCCCAAACAAAAGGAAATATAAAGTCATGATGATTGGGGGGGGGAGTGGGGCTGGCAGAGTGGCTCAAGTAGTACAGCACCTGCTTACCAGACATGAGGCCCTGAGTTCAAACCATCAAAAGAAAAGATTTAAAGGTTATTTTTTAAAACCCATTCTTAAGAAATGATTGTTGCACTTTGTTTTGAATGCGTCAGATGTTGGTGGACTTGACTGCAGCTTGACAGATGTTTTTCTCTGTAGTAGCTTTAGCATAAGTAATGGTAGTTGGTTCAATTAAAAAAAAATTCAGACCTAGAGTGGTGGGGTGCATGCCCATACTGCCAATACTCAGGAAGCTGCAACAGGAGGATTCCAAGTTGAGGCCAGCCTGAGCTACATAATGAGACATAATGAGACAAAAAATAAGAACAAAACAAAATTTAGCATCTGAAAGATTCTGTTTATGCTGTCACTGTTATAATTTAGAAATTGGAATAATAGTCTTGCTAACAGTGTTTTTATCGCTAACAGGCAGTTTGTGACAGACCTTGCAGTAGAGCTTCAATATGTAATGCTGGACATTGCATACTTTCCAGGCTAATTATTTTCTTTGTATTTCTTTTTCTTATAGAGAAAGATGGCAAGGCCTTTCATCCAACTTACGAAGAAAAACTGAAGCTTGTGGCACTGTATAAGCAGGTTCTTCTGGGCCCATATAATCCAGACACTTGTCCTGAGGTTGGATTCTTTGATGTGTTGGGGAATGACAGGAGGTAACAATGTTTTGTTGTTTAGCAGATTCAATAAGAATAATTTGGAGATGGGTGTAGTATGAATTGGTTAAGATGTAAATAGCTGGCTCCTTGGCTTAGCATAGAAACTGAAACATTTTTGCTTATAGCTCCTGGAGGCTTCAGATGTTTATTGGTTTATGGCTAAATATTGTGGAAGAAGTTTACTGGTCTGATTATGAGCATAATGACAATTCTATTTGACTCTTCCTAAGCAGTATTAAAAACAGCCATGTAAAATGCATCATAATTGATTCTCTCATTTAGACATGTAGAAAGTTGTACCAGAAAAGGATACATTCCTATTTTGTATTTAAAATACAGTATAAAGGAAATAAAATGTAATACTTACCTGACAGGGGAGCTACCATGATCACGAACATGGTTTTCCCAGGGTGAGGCTTATCCATTGTACTCCGGATGTGCTGACCCCTGCGATTTCCCCAAGTGTGAGAAACTCGACTGCATAATTTGTGGTAGTGGGGGACTGCGTTTGCGCTCTCCCCTAAAAAAAATTTAAAAATTAAAAAAAAAGAAAATGTAGATACCTTTTTGCATATATTGTTGAGAATTATCAACAGTGCACTTACATTTTGGATTATATGTGGCATAAGCTAACTTAGTAAATCAGCACATGCTTGTTGGAAGTTTCCAGCTTTAGTAAAAAAATCATCATTCATTTTAGTTATAATCGAGAGTTTTTGTATGTAGTTTTAAGTTAAATGAGGTTCTCCTTCAGTTAAGAAGGGGAGGTAACTTTTCTTATTGTTCTTTACAGGAGAGAATGGGCAGCCCTGGGAAACATGTCTAAAGAGGATGCCATGGTAGAGTTTGTCAAGCTTTTAAATAGGTGTTGCCATCTCTTCTCAACATATGTTGTGTCCCACAAAATAGAGAAGGAAGAACAAGAGAAAAAAAGGTGACATTTGAGGGCATGGAATACTTTACCCCAGTGTGGCCAGTGTGCTCTGTCTTCCCTTCAATTCCCACTTCTTACAGTGCTCATTGAAACTTCCTGATGTGAACAGGTCTTTATATGATGAGTTTGGAGGGAAAGAGGGACTGCTTCCTTATGGCTGCACCTTTAACAGGAACCTCCCAGCAATTGCAGCAGCATTACTTTCCTTTTACTGTACTGTGTTTCTGAATAGGCTCCACCTCAAATTCAGCCACCACCACCCCCATTCTGCCATTTGGCATACCTTTGTCTGCTATGTCTCCTGAACTTCTAGAATATTCATACTCCATTTTATGGTTTTCCTCTGTGTTACATGGTAAGCCTTATATAGACAGATACACTGGCTTTTGCTTCCAGATGGCTTGTTAATTATTTCCAGAATCAGGGGAAGGAGTAGCTGAATGTGATGTTTAGGTTTATGAGAATCTCTGTTGTCATTGTGAATTGGAATTATAGTTGACACCTTAGTTGTCTAGAGGTTATATTTCAGCAACTTTGACCATCTAGATTTTCCAGGTAATAAAAACACTGCAATAGGGGCTGGCGGAGTGGCTCAAGCAGTAGAGTACCTACCTAGCAAGCATGACCCTGAGTTCAAACCCCAGTGCCACCAAAAAGAGAAAAAAACAAAAAAAACCACACTGCAATAAAGCCAGTTTTCCTCAGATTATATCCTACTTTAGAAGCAGGTGATTTTCTGGTTTCTGTTACTTCTGGTGAATCAAAAATAACAGATTGGAAGAGAAAGTAGAAATGCTTCCTTACCACTGAGGAAGTGGGGCCACTTGGTCAAGTTGGTGTAGGGTGTCTATCTCAGCTGGCTCCACCGTGTCCAAGGTTTCTTTTAAGATCATGCTGGCATCAGACCCACAGCTTCCATGCATAGTACTCATAGTCCTGAAAGTACACCTTTGATAGCAGTCTTAAAGTTCTTGTAGCAACAAGCGCAATTATTACCAGTGATGTAATAGGACTAAAGCCTGCACAGACTACTGGAAATGTTTTCCCAGCGCATGGTTCAGCACTGCAGATTAACCCAAGAGATTGTGTTGGAAGTAGTTAATATGTGCTTCTTGGAAACACACACTTATCTTTAGAATAAACATTGGCATGTTTTGTTGTAAAAATTGAAATCAGGCATTTGAGGTACTATGAAAACAGCAAGAGTCAATGAAACAGTGAAAGATGACCCTCAGTTCTTTTCATACTCGTCATGTGACGAGGGAATGCTTATGAGTGGAGGGCACTGCCACCACCGAAGGTCGTACAGTGGATGAGTGCTACTCCCAACTCAAGCAGGTATTTTGTTTGTGGCAAATGGATTATACAACTGTGTTGTTTTTGTTTTTTTTTAAACGGAGGGAGAGTCTAAAATTCTTTCCGACAACATTTGGAAAGTTAGCACTTACTGAAGCTTGCTTATATGTCATTGAGTTCACAATGTAAAACGACTGTGAATCATAGATGGCAGTCTGCTTGCTAGCGTCTCATTTGCCGTCTCATAGGTTTTTAAATAAATAGTTTGTGACGAAGGTAATAGACATTTCAATGAACAATCAGCTATCTTTATCAATTAGAGTTTTTTTAAGTTTCAAACTTCATGTGTGATACAAATTTTAATTTAGTGTCACAAACCAAAAATTGAATTTTTGTCATACTGGGGTCTGAACTCGTGCTTGCTAGGCAGGTGCTCTATGACTTGAGCCATACCCCAGCCCAGAATGCAGTATTTGTAATGGTGGGGAGTGATGATACAGTAGAAGCATCGTTGCTGAGTTATGTGTGTCTTTATCAATTTCTTTTAATACAACTTTTAATATAGAAATCCCCAAGAAACCATTCTTTTTGAGGGTTTTTTTTGGTGGTTTTTTGGGGTTTTTTTGGTACTTGGGCTTGAACTCAGGGCTTATACCTTGAACTACTTCACTAGCCCTTTTTTATGAAGTGTTTTTTTCAAGATAGGGTTCCATGATCTATTTCCCTGGGCTGGCTTTGAACCCTGATCCTGCTGATCTCTGCCTCCTGAGTAACTAATTATAGGCATGAACCACCGGCACCTGGCTTAAGCGTAATATATTTGAATAGCATTCGGAAGGAGGATGCTGGTGCAGGACAGGTATGGCTTGAGTGGTTGGAGGCCCTAAAAAGATAACACAAGAATACTGCTGCAGAGTAACGTGCAATCTGTGACAGAACTTAAGGAAATAATGATCAGAAATGCTGTTCACTGGGATTTGAACTGAGGCCCTTGTGCTTACTAGGCAAGCACTGTACCACTCAAGCCACACCCCAGCCAGAAGACCCAGTGTTTGAGAAAGTGTTAAGTCACCCGGGTGGATAAGAAGCCAGGAAAGGGAAAATGAGAAAGCTTGGAGGACCAGGCAAGTAGGAAATGAGCAACAGTGAAAAGGAACAGGAAACTGTCATTAAGTGTCACAGAAAAAGCCATTGGTTGGGCAAACTGCAGAGGGTATGTTGGAGAAAACTGAAAAGGAAAACAAAAGTACTTGACGCAGTCTTAGGTAGTAGAAGGCAGTTAGGAAGAGCAAAATGTAGGCCCTGTCAGCATAATAAAGTTAAAACACCCCTGTGCCAATCCAAGGAGTGATGTGGATAGTGAAAGATTTTATTTGCTGTTTAGAGAAAGTCAGTTTCTCTGCATATCTTGAAAGATGAAATGAAGGTTTGTAGTAATTCATAATCAGTGCTTGACCTACTTTTTTGTGTGTGTGGTACTGGGGATTGAACCCAGGGCCTATACCTCGAGTCACTCCACCAGCCCTTTTTTATTTTATGATGGGTTTTATCAAGATAGGGTCTTGTGAACTGTTTGCCCAGACTGACTTCAAACCACAGTCCTCCGGATCTCTGCCTGCTGAGTAGCTAGGATTACAGGCATGAGCCACCAGCACCAGCCTGAAATGTAAGCCTTCAATAAAAACTTAACACCAAGTTTTACCTTAGCATGTGTCAGTGTCTTCCCTGTTAAGGGTCCTAGGTTCATTGAGGGAGAAAATAAGGAAATGCAACAGAATCAGCATCTGAAAGACAATACTGATAGTTTAAGAAATCACCAGGTATTCACAAATCTGATGAATAGCAGGATGCCAAATTATGAAACAACAAAAAAAAGCTGATCTACAAAGTGCACCACTAGTGTTTGGGAAGGTTTTACTTTTATTTTAAAGATCTGATGCTCAAAGACCCCTGTTCTATAGCCTTACGCTTTAGTTAATTAAAAATTTTTTGAATACCCATTCCCAGAATTTTGGCTTATTTAAAATTTTCCTCCATTCTGCTTTTAGCACAAAAATATGCCTGCTGTCTACATAAATAAGTTTATAGCATCCTGTTCCATAAAATGATTTACCTAATTCTTCAGTTCTTTTGGTTTTGAAAAATTATGTTGTAGTTAGTTCTTAAAAACATTTTGTTAAACAACTAGGCGTTTTGTTAATAAATGTGATCTGTAAGTTCTTTGTGCAGGTGTTTTGAAGTATTGTGTTTAGTTTAAATGCATTTCTGGTCCATAATTAATAGCATGTGAAAATACATTTTGTTACACTGTTAAAAAAAGAAAGAGAGAAAATAGCCTAAGAGTGAGAGAGAAGATAAAAGCCATGAGAAATAGAAAAGAATTATAAAAGCATGCCAGTCAGAACCATTTAATGAAGTAAATTCCTCCATCACAATATTATGACATAGTGTAAATTTTGTTTGTAGTTACATCCCCGAGTTACCAAGAGACAGAGCACCAGATAGAATTCATTCCTGTTTAAGAAGATAGTTAACTGTGTAATTACATTTCAGAAGATACTTCCAAAGTAAGATGTTTTTAATCCAGAGAAAAAGATTTGATTCTTGGAAGAATGGAATAAACTTCCTTTAATTGGAAAATTGATTTATGTGCTATCGTCCATTGTGTAGTAATGCTGGGTCAGTGAGGAGTAGCTATAATGTCATTGGAAATATTTATGTGCGCACAACACACACAGCTTTTTTTTTTTTTTTTTTTTTTTTTAAATGGGACTGCAGTTTGAACTCAGGGCTTCACACTTGCAAAGCAGGCACTCTTCTGCTTGAGCCACACCTCCAGTCCATTTTGCTCTGGTTGTTTTGGTGATGATAGTCTCTCAAAGTATTTGCTTAGGCTGGCCTCAAACTGTAGTCCTCCCAATCTCAGCTCAAGTAGCTGGAATTATAGGTGTGAGCCACTGGCAGCCAGCCAGCATTGCTTTTTCAGTTCTTTCTTTTTGTTTTTCAGACAGGGTCTTGCTGTGTATCCCATCCTGGCCTCAAACTTAAGATCCTCCTACTTCAGTCTCCTAAATTCTGGGATTACAAGTGTATACCACATACTTGTCTTCATTCTTACTCCAGTAATAATTAAAATATTTCTCTTAAGCCTTATCAAGCTTTATCATGGGATAAACTCCACATAAAGTGTTTAAGACTAGACTTCACTATCTGGAAGTTTAAGCTCTGACTCACAGAACTTCTTGTCCTATACTACTGTGACATGTTAAAAGTAGGTCATGTTCTTGTTACAGTTTGAGCCTTGGCTGTGGCTCAGGTATAAAATCACTTACATGTGTGAGAAGCGAGCACTGTGAGGTAACCCAGATGGTTCTCATGGTGAGATCAAGAAATGTCTTCTTGTAGGACGCCAGTGGCTCATACCTGTAATCCTCTGTAATCCTAGCTACTCAGGAGGCAGAGGTCAGGATGATCACAGTTTGAAGCCACCGCGGGCAAATAGTTCACAAGACCCTATCGAAAATATCCATCACAAAAAAGGGCTGGTGGAGTGGTTCAAGGTGTAGACCCTGAGTTCAAGCCCCACTACTGGGGCAAGAGGGGGGGTGGTCTTTGGTGAGAATCCTTGGAAATCCTCCCTTTATCCTGTCTTACTCCCTGTACCCCACACCATGCATAGACCCACAAGATATCCACAGCTAGGGCAACATGGTCCCTTCTTTCTGGAAAGAGGGTTTGGGGTGCAATGGCTGCACCTAGAAGTGCAGCTGTTCTTTTTAAAATGAAAAGCTCCTTAAATTTCAGAAGTAACACAGATTTGTGCAGTATAAGTGATTTTTCCATTTCTAGAAAATCGGAAGGACAAACTGAAAACCATCCTCCCCCTTTCTTTTGATTTCATTCTCCTTTCCAGAGATAACTGGCAAACTTAGGGTACATCCTTCCGGACCTTTTTCTTTGTGTTGCTTTTTTTTTTTTTAATCAAACGTATCAAGCAAATGTCCTTGCAGATTATACCATGCATATAGTTCTGTCCTTTTTTTTTTTTTTTTTTGCAGTACTGGTGCTTGAACTCATGGCCTTCACCATGAGCCAATCTACCAGCCCTATTTTTATGAGGAGATTTTCGAGATAAAGTCTCAAGAACTATTTGCCTGGGCTGGCTTCAAACCACAGTCCTCCTGACCTCTGCCTCCTGAGTTGCTGGAATTACAGGCATGAGTTTTGTCCTTTTTTAATGGCCAGAGGGCATAGGGGTGGATTTTTCAGTTCCATACAAACTCAGTCCCAAAGGTGTAGTCTTAGGGCTGGTGGAGTGGCTGAAATGGTAAAGCGCCTGCCAAAGGTGTAGTCTTACAAAGCATGTGTGGCTTTTCTGTTTGTTATTTTGGGTCATTTTTGTGTGGTGCTAGGGATGGAACACAAGACCTCATTCATGCTAGTCAAGTGCTCTGCCTCTGAGCTACATCCCCAATCCTATGGAACATATATTTTAATAGGTAAGGCAGATGTATTGCTGAATTTAGTTACAACAGGTATTGTGAAGGAAAAGCTTTGAGTACTATGAATATATATTAAAAGGGTTGGGCTGACAGAGTGGCTGAAGTTGTAGAGCACCCGCCTAGCAAGACTGAGACCCTGAGTTCAAAACCCCAGTACCACCAGAAAAAAAAAAAAAAGGAATCTATCAAAAAGCTGGACACTGGTGGCTCACGCTTTTAATCGTAGCCACTCAGGAGGATCACAGTTTGAAACCAGTCCAGGCAAATAGTTTGCAAGACCTTGTCTCATGGTAGAGTGGCTCAAGATGTAGGCACTGAGTTCGAACTCCAGTACTGCCAAAAAAAAAAAAAAAGGTTGGGGGGCGTCCTTTGGGAATAAGGAATAGATGTATCACAATGATTTAAGTAGTTCTTACTGATGGATACCTTTTTCTAATGCTGTGCAGCAATAAGTATTCTTGTTGTGGTCTTGTGAGGCTGGCTCCATATGGGAAGTTTCTATTAGTGGAGTGTATACATTTCAGATTTTGATGGAGATTGCCACATTGTTCTCTAAAAAAATTATGTCAGTTTTCACTGGGAAATGAAATTTAAATGATTTTTAAAATAAGATTCACTATGTAAGATTCATTATCTCTGTTCTTTACCTTGTAGGAAGGAGGAGGAAGAGCGAAGACGACGTGAAGAGGAAGAAAGAGAACGTCTTCAGAAGGAGGAAGAAAGACGTAGGCGAGAAGAGGAGGAAAGGCTTAGACGGGAGGAGGAAGAGAGGCGGCGGATAGAAGAAGAGAGGCTCCGGCTAGAGCAGCAAAAGTAAGTGCACAGAGTGGCTTTTATTTAACAGTGAGCAGCAGCTGCCACACTGCTGCTGCCTGCGGTCCGTAGAACAGTTCTGTGACCATGTGCCTGGCAGGTAGACTAGCATTAGCCACTTTTCTCTTCTACCAATACTTTGTTTTCAAAGAGGAGTGTATTGGAAGGATCTAGGATTAGCTTACACACCCTGCACTCAAAGCAGGAGCTCAAGTTGCTCAGTTGCTCAGTCTCTGGGTTCATATGACCTCTTGTCTTTGCTTCTCAGCTCATGTCTCTGCTTTGTTCTTCCTGACATCTGTAGTGTCCCTGCTTTGTCATATGCAAGGGCACCTCAGCTCAGAGTTCTGTGATCTGCTTTTCATACATCTGACAGAGACTGGTTGGAATCTATGAGAGCCAGTTAAGATTCTGAGGACAGAGAACCTAGTTGGCCCAGTGTGTGTCAGGTCCATCCCTGATCCCTAGTGCAGGACATGGATCCTGAACCTGTTTCTTGTTATAAGGGCTGTGAAAGCAGCTGCTTCAGAAGGGACTGGTTCCTCAGAAGGGTGCACTGCAGGAAGGGCTGGGTGGGGCTCCAGGGCTGACATGGGAGAAAGGTTAAACCAGAGAACTTGGAGCCATTAATTTTTCCTTGTGGTTTCTGATTAGCTTATCAAAAAAAGCTTCAGTGTTTGCTGCCTCAAAGTGTTCCAGAGTCTCATTCTTTTTTGAGAGATACTATGAATGCCTCTCTTTTTTGGAGTGGGGTAGAATGCTCTGAATTGGCCTAGTGTCATGCTGTAGTCAGGAATTTGTAAGATTTTTGCTTTTTGCTGTCACTCATTTCTTCATGGATGGCTTTGAGGTCTTTGTTAATTGGCCACCTGAGTTATGAAGCATGTGGTTTCTCTGTGGATGAATGTACAAGAGACTTGTAATAGTTTTATAAAAATTGGTATCACTGAGTCAGGTTTGGTGGCATGCACCTGTGATCCCAACCCTGAGGAGATTGAGGCATGAGGATCACTTGAGCTCAGGAGTTCGAGACCAGCCTGAGCAAAATAGTGACCCTGTCTCAAAAACAAAAAACAAAGCAAAAATCTAAATATATATATATATATTTTTTTTTTTTTCAATGCTTCCTGCTTAGTAAAGGCAGTTTTAAATTAAATGGTACAGGGCCTCCAATTTTCACTGGCTTTATGTATCCTTATGGGACCATCTGTAACATCTTTTAGCTATTCTTCTGCCTTGTGCTGTTTCTCGTGTGTGTAGGTAGAAAAGCCATAGCCACAGTTAAAATCTCATCTCTGCCTCAGATGACAGTCCATTGACTTACAGGATCATGGTGGATTATGGAGTCTCTGGAGCCAGAGCGTCTGGATATTTGAATTCTAGCTCTGTCATGTATCTGCAGTAGAATCTCGGGCAGTCAGTCACTCAACAGTCTTGTAGGACTGTTGTGAGGACTAAGTGAGTTGTGCATGGCACATGCAGAGGCACAGTAAGTGTTAGCAGTTACCACGATTGTTTATGGTGCCGTGCTGACTACTTTCCCAAATTTGCCTTGATAAACCTAGGTAAGAACTTAGAGGCCAGGTTAAGAGTTATACATTGTAAAAATAACAAGGACGTTTTGTTGTGTCATGAGCTGCCTCCTGGAGTCGGACGCTATAGTGTATGTGTGTTATGTTTCTAGGCAGCAGATAATGGCAGCCTTAAACTCGCAGACTGCCGTGCAGTTCCAGCAGTATGCAGCCCAGCAGTACCCAGGGAACTACGAGCAGCAGCAGATCCTCATCCGCCAGCTGCAGGAGCAGCACTACCAGCAGTACATGCAGCAGCTGTACCAAGTCCAGCTCGCGCAGCAGCAGGTACGGCAGACAGCCTAGGACCAGGTCAGACAGGGCTTAGTGTCATAGGAGCCCAGCTTCTCTCTTTACAGGTGACCAGGAGTTTTGCATTAGGTGCTTCCATGGTATGAAGTAACTTTGAGGCGACCTTTCAGATAGACTTTAGCATTGCACTGGCAGTTACGAGAGAAGGTGTGCACTATTGAGGCAACAAATGATGTAGCCATTGTTACATTGTCTAGGGCTTTATGGCAGATGTATAGGCCAAGTGTCTACAATGACTGATAGACCCTAATGAGGTCTCAGGTAGCGAGCCTCAGTTCAGGGATGTTCATCAGGCCAGAGAACTGTAAGGACTGGACAGCTTCTGGGGTAGGACTTCCCTAAGACCGCAGGCTGGTTCCACAGAGCTGGGTCAGATCATCACAGTGCTCATGATAACAGGTTCTTATCCTTCCTCCAAACCCCACTCCTAAATAATGTATATGGGAGGGTGGTTTACTGAAAGAACATGAATTTGGAGGTCTGGTAACACTGGGATTCTGTCCTGGCTTTGCAGTTACCTTGTTTATCTCAGGCATGTTACACTGCTCTGATTTTCTGCTTTTTCTCTCAGTCTGTAAGAACAGAATATAAGATAAAGCTTCCTTCCTGTCCTGTTAAGCTCATAAGATTGTCAGGGTGAAAATGCTTTGTGTGTAGGAAAGCTACTGATGTTATATTCAGCTGTTACATCTGTGGAGTATAAGATGCCTCAGACTTAACTGCGAAGCTGAGTTACTTAGCTTGTGTTTATAACAGTAGTTACCACATGTCAACACACCTGAGTGAAGAAAAGTGTTACACTGTAGTTACTCAGCATTTTTTGTTACATGAAGTAATCTGTTTTTTCCAAGCTCTTTTAATTTCTTGAAGACACATATCCTCATCTAAAGTACCTTTTCCACTGGGTGCAGTGGTACATATCTGTAATCCCTGCTACTCAAGATAGGAGGGTCAAGAGTTTAAGCTTGGCCTGGGGGCTACATAGTGAGAACCTGTCTCATATTTTAAAATGAAGAAAAATTTAAAAAGAAGATATGCTTTCCCTCCAAATCCTTGGCATCAGTGAGAAGTGGAAAAGTTCTGTAGGTTTTATATAATCCATAAGAGGATGACAAAAGAAACTGAACTTGACTTGTTTAAGAAAATAAGCAGTGTTGGAGCCAGGCACCAGTGGCTCAGACCTGTAATCCTAGCTATTCAGGAGGATCACGGTTGGAATCCAGCCCAGGCAAATAGTTTGAGCTACCCTTTCTTAAACCCATCACAGAAAAGGGCTGGTGTGGCTCAGGGTGAGAGCCCTGAGTTCAAGCCCCAGTACTGCAAAAGAAAGGAAGGGGAAGGGGAAAGGAAAGGAGCAGTGTTGGGTTGGTGGAGTGGCTCAAGCAGTAAGAGAACCTGCCTAGCAAGCGTGAGGCCCTGAGTTCAAACCCCAGTACTGCCAAAGAAAAATAAAATTAAATGGCTGATATATTTATCTGGGCGCTGGTGGCTTATTATGCCTATAATCCAAGCTACTCAGGAGGCAGAGATCAGGAGGATTGAGGTTTGAGGCCAGCCCATGCAAATAGAGTTGGCAAGACCCTATCTTGTAAAAACTCTTCACAAAAAAACAGCTGGTGGATTGGCTTAAGGTGTAGGCCCTGAGTTCAAACCCCAGAACTGCAAAAAAATAAAAGGAACAGTGTTTTTGAGGGATTCTTTGCCTTCTACAGCCTGTTTCTATTTTACCTTTTTTTGCTTCTTTGATAGGCATTGAGCTTTCTTTCTTTCTTTTTTTTTTTTTTTTTCTTTTAACTATTGCTAGGCAGGTGCTTTACTGCTTGAGCCACTCCTCTAGCCTTTTTAGGCTGGTTTTTTTAGGAATGGGGTCTCGCTTTTTGCCCAGGCCAGTCTGGACTGCAGTCCTCCCATTTTACATTACCCACCATTGTTTGGTCACAGGCACGTACCACCACGCCCAGCTTGTTTTCACTGAGATGGGGTCTTCCAAACTATTTTGCTCTGATTTTCTTGGAACCGAGACCTTCTGATCTCACACTCCTGCATAGCTTGGGATGACAGGCATCCAGCTGAGATATTTTTAAAATAAGATCACGCGTATACACTGTCCTGTTCAGATTGCTGTCACTTCATTAGGAGAAAATCAGTCTAGCAGGACAAAAGGAAGCATCTTTGAAATGGAATTAAAAAGTCTCAAGTGAGATTAAAAGGATCAAACTTAGTTTATCAAGTTGACTGGTTGCCTCTGGAAATAAGTACAATACACAACCAAGAATTCAGCCTTAGAGAGGGTTCATTGCAACTCAAGTTCTTTTCTAGCAGTTGCCAATGAATTTTGCATGAGGGGAAGAAGCAAAGGAAACTCCACCCCTCTAAAGTAATTTTTATGCAAATACTGAGCAAGATAACAAAATGGGAACCCTGTTGGGGCAGTTAATCTGGGTGGATGTTTGTTACATTTTTAAAATTTCCCACAGTGTAGACAAGAGAGTGTGTAAGGAATTGAGTCTTCTGTGTGTAGTAGATGTGTGTCATGGGCAGTGAGCCCTCACTTGTTCACTCTGCTGGACTCTGAGGAAGGCTCAGTGGAGATGCTCTGGAGCCGCACCCCTGCTGATCCTGCATACGAGCTGTGAAGTCTTTGCTCTTCACTTTTCTTGTTGCACAGGGGATTCTCTAACAGTCTGACCTGTTTGGGTTGCTTGTGCTTTTTCTGGTAGCTGGAATTCTTTCTAAAAAACTAATACGGGGGTTTGGGGCACGTATGGCTCAAGTAGAGCACCTGCCTAGCAAGCATTAGGCCCTGAGTTCAAAGACCACTAACACCAAAACCAAACAAACAAATGTAATGTTGGAAAATATTTAGAATCTAGGCCTTGAAAGAAGTTATTTTAAAATCTTTTTTTCCCTCCTTTTGTGGGAATGGGGTCTGAACTGAGGGATTTGTGCTTGTAAAGTGGCCCTGTACCACTTGAACCATATCTCCAGCCTGGTATTTTAAAATGTTTTAAGTGTGCTGTTAGCCTGTAGCAGAGGAAGGTGTTGCTGTTCTTTAAGTAAAAAATGTATAAAGTCATAATTTCACAGGAGGTGTCTGGAAAGGGCTGCCAGGGATGTTCTGGGATATAGGTTATGTCTTGATCTGGGTTTTGGTTACATGGATATATGTTTGATTTGTGAAAATTGATAAAGTATAATTTATGATTCATACACTCTTCTATATGTATGTTAAAATCTGATTTAAAGTTTCCTCAAAAGCTACTGAAGTAGCATGCTATCTCTCCCTCTTGCTTTTGAAGAAGAATGTCCCAAAATAGTTATCCTTAGGATTAAAGATGCTCTTACGCTCCCATTTTGACTCTCGTTTTGATTCCACATTTGTAAATATACACATTTTAATCATAATTATGTAAACAGTGTGATTATTACTGTTTTTTTTGAGACAGGGTCTTGGTACACCAGGCCAGTCTTGAACTTGAGATCCTCCTGTCTCAGCCTCCAAGTGCTGGGATTATAGGCGTGCACCTGGCATGGTGTCAGAGTTTCACTGAGAAAAGAAAAATTTGCTCTTTTATCCATATGGAATAGTTGTTCATATGTGAATTGGGGATCACGTTGGGGGCCTGTGTCAAATTTACCAGCCTCTATTTTTGTGAATTTTCTTCTGTGACCATTTATTTCTTTGAAGTATAATTTTCCTAATTCAAATTCTATGCAGTTTGATTTTTTTGTTTGGAGGCAGGGCCTCACTGTATTGTCTAGGCTGGTCCCAATCTCCCTGACTCAGGATCCTCCTGCCTCAGCCTCCCAGTCTGTGCCACTATCAGCTTTGTAATTGAAGTGTGTCAGGGTTCTCCTCAGCTGCCTGGGAGGTGCAGATAGGGCCATGATTCCAGCAGAAGAGTTAGCAGCACATGGCGATGCACATCTATAATGCCAGTTACTTAGGAGGCAAAGGTAGGAAGATCATTAATAAAGTCCAGTCCAGGCAAAAGCATGAGACCCTATCTAAGAAAAGAAATTAGCTAGACGCTAGTGGCTCATACCTGTAATATGCTGTTTGAGAGGCTGAGATTGGGAGGATCATGGTTCAAGGCCAGCCGGGGTAAATAGTTCTCTAGACCCCATCTTCCACATAATCAGGGCAAAATGGACTGGAAGAGTTGCTCAAGCAGTAGAGCACCTGCTTTGCAAGCACAAAGCCAGCCCTGAGTTCAAACCCCAGTCCCACAAAAAAGAAAGAAAAAAGAAAACAAACCCCAGAACCATGCCCAAAAAAAGATTCTCTTCCATCAGTTTTTTTTTTTTTTTTTTCAGTACTAGATTTGAACTTAGGGCCTCTAGGCAGGCACTCTACCACTCGAGCCACTCTGCCAGCCCTGTTTTGTGATGGATTTTTTTTTTTTTTTTTTTTTGAGATAGGGTCTCGAACTGTTTGTCCTAGCTGGCTTTGAACCACAATCCTCCTGATCTCTGACTTCTGAGTAGCTAGAATTATAGATGTGAGCCACTGGTTCCTGACTTCTTCCATTAGTTTTAAGAGTACATGTTACTATGCTCAGTTTTGCCTTTAGTAGTTTTATTTGAGGTTAATTATTTCATCATTTTTAGCTGTTAGTTGATACTATTGGTATTCATTATAGCAGGATAAAAAACAATAAAATTTATTGGTAACTGTTGGAGCAGAATGCTGAGGCAGGGCACAGTTACAGTGCGAATGCACTCGTGCCCATTTGTTAGCCTCCCCTCCTGGTCAGCATATCTTCCTTTTCTCTCCATCTGTAGGCAGCACTGCAGAAGCAACAGGAGGTAGTGGTAGCTGGGGCCTCCTTGCCTCCATCGTCAAAAGTGAATGCAGCAGTAGCAGGTGACATGATGCCAGTAAACGGACAGGCCAAAACCCACACCGACAACTTAGAGAAAGCACCTGAGCCGGAGGTTGCCGAGGAAGCCCTGGAAAATGGACCAAAGGGTAAGGGCTGGCATGCGTGCTCCTCCTCAAAGTGCTTGAGGCAGGGAGAGTTTTTGACAGCAGTTGGTGTTCATAAGTGTGGAGTACTTTTTCACTCTAAGTCCGAATTGGAGTAGTCAAGAAGATCAAATCAGATGTGTTTTGGAAACTTCTAGACATAAGGTATCTTCTTTTTTACATACTGCCACATTACACTGAAACTTAGCAGCATGAGATAACAATAAACATCTCTTACCACACGGTTTCTGTAAATCAAGAATTGAGGGCAAGTCAGCTCACTGATTCTGGCTCAGAGTCTGTTATGAGGTTGCAGCCAGGACGTTGGCTGGGCTGTCATCGTGTGGAGGGTTGGCCAGGACTAGAGGATCTGCTTCCAAAACAGCTCTCTCTCCTGGCTGGCACATTGATGCTGACTGTTGACAGAGACTCTCCGCCCCCCCAGGGGAAGCCTCTCCATGGGCATAGGACTGGCTTCCTGCAAAGCACCTTATCCAAAAGAGAGTAAGGCAGAAGTGGCAGTGTCTTTTTGTTTTTTTGGGTTTTTTTTTGAGATAAGATCTCACAGTGTAGCCCAGATTGGCTGGAATTCAAGATCTTCCTGCCTTAGCTTCCCAGGTGCTGGGATTGCAGGTCTGCTCTTCCAAACCCAGCTGGCATGTCCTTTATGCCCTGACTTGGGAAGTAATGCATCAGCAGTTCCACCATATTCAGGTGCCAGCCCTGCTGTTTTGTGTGTGAAGACCCAGAGGTGAGGATTACTGGGACTATCTTGGAGACTGGCCACTATATACTACAGTATAATTTTTTAGACTAAAAGTACCATGTTATCCCAGAGATAACTTAGCATTTTTCAACCTCTACCAGCAGCTTCATCAGTTGGTTAGGTTTTCTGAGTTGCTAGACTTGCAATGATGAGGCATAATTACCATAAAATATAAATTGTAGCTGTTATAAGTACAATGGTGGAAAAGGGATCCATTATAATTTAGAGGCTGTAATGTGGCAGCTGGGGCTGAGGGGTGACCTCCAGGAGGTTAGAGACTTTCCTGAGGAAGGAATACTTGAGCTGAGAGAGCTGTGGGCTGGGGACATGGCTCAAGTGGTCAACCACCTGCCTAACAAGCATAAGACCCTGAGTTCAAACCCCAGTACCGTCAATCAGCAAAGGAGCTGAGAGGTCAGAAGTGAGAATAAGTGTTAAGTAGAAGGAGTGAAAAGCCTTCAGGACAGTTGTCAGGGTTGGTGGGTGGCTTGTAAGAAGTTTGGTTTCAGAAGTCTTCCTGTCTTTTAGAACAAGTAACAGAAAATAACTCCAGAAAATCTGTGAGATCAGTGGCTTATTCCCTCTCTCCTTTGTTCTTATCAAGAGTTTATAACAATCAAAAAAAGAAAAAGGTAAAAAAGAGTTTATAGCAGTATTTTGAAAGAAGAAGCAGTCTTTTGTCAGTGACTCTGACAGGCTGTGGTCCAGTGCACATAGATGCTGCTTAGTAACAAGATCTCACCCTTTTTCTCTATCCCCAGTGGTTCTAATCTTGTCCGGGTTTTTCTGTTTTTTAGCTCCTTCAGAAAAACCCCTAGAACTTTGGGACACCCAGAGGTCAAGACTTTTTTCCAGATAGATAGACTAAAGTCAAAGCCCACTTTTTGGTTTCACATTCAAAAGAGTAATTTATTCCGAGGCACAGGTCTCTCTTCCTTGCTAAGAATAGTTCCCTAGCAGCTAGGGTTTTCAGGGTCTTCTTTTGTTGTTGTTGAGAGTATTGGGATTTGAGCTCAGGCCTCACACTTGCTAGACAGGCGCCCTACCACTTGAGCCACTCCACCTGCCCTCAAAGTCATGCCCCCAATGTCATTCTTAAATCCCCTTAAGGAGTTAGAGTATTGAAAAAAATAATTTATAAGCTTGTGGAGTCCACTTGTTACTTGCAGGGTGTGATGTCTTCTGATAGCTGTGACTTGTTAAACATAGTAACCCAGGGAGAGACTACCACAGGAGGCTTTTCCATAGCCCTCCACCCTCTGTCTCATCTATGCTATGCTGCCCTTGGTGCGAGAGTGTGCTGGGCAGGTGGCCCTGTACAAGTGTTGTGTCTATAAGCAGAAGGCCTTTTCTCTTTAGCTTTGGTAATTCCTGTTGCCTTTAGAATCTCTTCCAGTGATTGCAGCTCCATCCATGTGGACACGACCGCAAATCAAAGACTTTAAAGAGAAGATCCGGCAGGATGCAGATTCTGTGATCACAGTGGGCCGAGGAGAAGTGGTCACTGTTCGAGTTCCCACCCATGAAGAAGGATCCTATCTCTTTTGGGAATTTGCTACAGACAATTATGACATTGGGTTTGGGGTGTATTTTGAATGGACAGATTCTCCAAACACTGCTGTCAGCGTGCATGTCAGCGAGTCCAGCGATGATGAGGAGGAGGAAGAAGGTAGAGCACTGGTTCATGTTCAGTAGCTGCTGGGTTGTTTCGGCAAAGATAGTACCTGGTTCAGGTGTCAGCCAGCCTTACGCTGCCTCATTAGCACTTCACAGACAGGGAACAAACGTCATTGGTAGGACGCTGGCTGAAAAGCTTGTAAGGGGGGGCCAGCCTCCTGTGGAGAGGAGTATGGCCTGAACATGCGTGTTTCCAAAGCCAGGAAAGTCTGTTTGGCAGTTAGCTATCTTACCACTTCCTAAATACTGTTTTACTTCCATCCGTGTGTATTGAAATGCCAGATATGTGAGGTCACTTTGAAAATTTTTAGAATTTTATCCTGTGAGGTGTTTTGTTGCCCAGGCTGGACTCAAACAGTTCTACTCTATTAGCCTCTAGAGTATCATTTTTTATTTTCTCTGAGTATGTAGACAAAATCAGGTGTTTTTAAGGATGTTTTAAACTATCTTGGTCTAGGAGGCAGATTATAAAATACATGGCTTGGGCCACAGTGGTTCATACCTATAATCCCAGCTACTCAAGAGGTAGAAATTGGAAAGATGAACAATTTGAGGAAAGCCTGGGCAAAAAGTTAGTGAGATCTCATCTCAACAAAATAAGCCAGTTGTCATGGTATGTGCTTACAGTCCCAACTGTTGTGGAGGCGTAGACAGGATGATCACTGTCCAAGACCAGCATCAGACAACAGTTCAAGATCTTTTATCCTTTCCAAAAAATAACTAAGGCAAAAACAGGCTAGGGATGTAGCTTAGGTGGTAGAGCACCTGTTTAGCAAACATAATGCCCTGAGTTCAAACCCAGTACTGCCAAGAGAAAAAAGAAAAAAGTATTGGCTTATTGAGAAGGTGGTCTCCTTAAATTTGCTTCCTGGAAAAGCTAGAACTTGGGCTTTTTTATACAGGCTGAGTAAGCACTTACTTGCTGGCTGGACTGGAAGTAATATGGAAGGGGCACCCAGCCTGAGACCAGAAGAGCACTGTGGCTTACCAGGCACCTCATGAACAGAGTGCTTGTCTGTTTCGTAAGGATTCTCTCGGGATAAATTTAGTTATTCTTGGAAGTGTGTGGAGAGGGCATAAAGGTTCTATCAGCTTTAGAGACAGACAGTCATTCAGTCATACTGCCACACACTGGGGCCCCTGGGGTCACATACATACAGGAGCATACAACAGCTACACAGTAAGCAGTTCTTGAAATTTATTTAGTATTTAATTTCAACAGTTAATAGTAATTATTCAGCTTTTCAGCTCCAAAGACAGTTTTTATTCAGTACCACTTTCTATCATCCATAAATATCCCAGAAATTCCAGTAGGTCTTGCAGATTGGCTCCTTCCCAGAAGCAGACTGGAAACCTTCATTATTCCACAGGTTCCGATTTGAGTTGTTATATGTGGAAGCATGCACTGCCTTATTTTATATGGCGTAAGTACCAGCAGCAAGGTACAACATTGCCCATAAATACTGTAGTCTGACCCAAAACAAAAAAGTACAAAAGTGGGGAAAAAACAGGCTGGCAGAGTGGCTCACGCAGGAGAGCATCTGCCTAGTAAGCGAGAGGCCAAGTTCAACCCCAGTACTGCTAAAAAAGGGAAAAGAAGAAGAATGAGACTGGTGTTTGAGAAGATTAGCCATGTGCTGCAAGCAGTACCTCGGGCGTCCCTTGGTATCATAGGACCAGGCCCGAGGCCTGGGCGGGCCTTTCTGATGCAGCATAGGGACTCATTTCAATCAGTGTTTGTAGATGCCAGGAAGGAAAGTTTAGTGTGTGTATGCACCAGTGTGTGTAAATCAAGGTGTTTTCCAAGAACTTTGTGAGTAATCTACAAGAATTCTTGGCTAGGGAGCAGCTCATTGGTCTGTATAGCTCATGCTTACATGGGCCAGGCCCTGGCTTTGATTCCGGCAAAAGAATTCTCCACTCAGAAGCTGGTTAAGGTATGTACCTGTCCTGTCCTGCCTGCTTGAGAACCTCTAAACAGGTTTTGGGTTATTGATATTGGGAAGAACACTAGCAGAAATGGCCAAAGTCCATTTTTATAGGAAAGAACCTTGATGTCCTCAACCTTGGCTCTAGCAGCTATATGTTAAAACTTGTTCCATCCTACCTTTGTTCCATTTCTAATCATACAATGATTTGCAACTAAAACCTATCCATTAAAACCTCTGTATTTGACTAGAGGTGTGGCTCAAGTGGTAGAGCACCTGCTTTACAAGTGCAAAGTCCTGAGTTTAAACCCCAGTCCTACCCAAAAACAAAACAAAACAAAAAAAAACCCTCTGTATTAGCAAGAACAGCAGTGAGAGAGCTTATTGCTCCCAAGAGGGCTTACTAAGAGTGAGGATAGCTTTACCCTCCTTGAAGCTGTAGAGTGCGTTTGTCTGTGTGCTTCAGGAGCTGCTGTGCCCCATGCCACCTTTGTAATGTGCCTTATATCAGTGGTTCTGTTGGCTTGATTCGCACAGAAGAAGAGTCCAGGTTTTTGTTTTCTTGGTTTGGTTTGGCTTTTCTCCCTTACATATTGAAAGGCAAACAGCTTATTTTCTCTGAAGAAGTATAGGTGGGAACCTCCTGGTACAAGTCCCAGTTTTATTGTTTCTAGGTCCCAATTGAATTGCAGGGTATCTCTGAATGCCTACCTCTCCTCTGTGGTTTTTAAATTTTTAGCCTTTTTATTTCAGATATACAGAAAGTAATAATCCTTATAAGCTACCTTCCCCCTTTCCTAAAATGGGAAGGACTGTTGTATTGTGGAAGAGGAGTAGATCAGAGCAGCATTTTTCTTGGTATTACTCAGATGAGAAAGGTCATCCCCTTGGGGAAGAATTAGGAATTGAGTGAATATAGAAGGGGGAAAATGGGGCCCAGAAATAAGGAGCAGCAGTAGGAGAGTAAGAAGGACAGGATACAGACCACTTCCACCACCAGCTACCATAGGCCACTGGGCTCCCAGGGCCCAGCACAATACAGGGTGCACAGAAGGTGCTCAGGTATTTGAATGAAGGAATAATACATGCTTATAGGTTGGACAATGGGTCAAGAGAATTCTTAATGAACAATTTGTCAAAGAAAGAAAGGAGTTTTAATTGCTTGATGTAAAGGCAGTTCTCCTGGATCTGTTCTTTGACTGGTGTCTGTTCTTTCTCACAGAAAACATCACCTGTGAAGAGAAAGCCAAAAAGAATGCCAGCAAGCCTCTGCTGGATGAGATAGTGCCTGTGTACCGACGGGACTGTCACGAGGAGGTGTATGCCGGCAGCCACCAATATCCAGGGAGAGGGGTCTATCTCCTCAAGTTCGATAACTCCTATTCTTTGTGGAGGTCCAAATCTGTCTACTACAGAGTCTATTATACTAGATAAAGATGTTACTGAGTCTGGAGTCCAGGCTGGGCAGAAGATGGCATTTAATTTTTTTTGACTTCTGTGGAGCATTGGAGCCGAGTTTCCCTATTGATTTTGGTCTGATGGTGTGAACTTTTTTGGGGAGTCAGGATTTCCTTGAGACTCTTTAGCAGTAATATTCTGGGGTTAAAAGGGATCCCTCAGACTCATCTAGCCCTTGGATGCCAACCAGCAGTCATTAGTGGATGCTGAAGTTACATGAGCTACGTACATGTTAAATGTTCAAGGTCTCCAGAATAAAGCACCCCAATGTTGACCAGACTGGCTGCCTGCTCCATGCACCGTCAGAGCCCATAGTTAAGCGTCCTCTCGTGTGACGTGCTTACGTTTGTCGTGCACATCAGGTGCAGGTACCTTTGATTGGAGGTCACCATTTTTAAAACTTAAAAACTCAAGACCTCAGAGTACACTAGAAAAAGAGATTGCTGCAGTGTTGTCTTGTTCTGAATGACCCAGATTGTTCTGATTTGGGTGCAGCTGCCTAGTTCAGAGTTACATTATAGAGAATTTTTTTTCTGAGATAATCTTAGCATATTCAAACCCACTAGATAATTGAAATACCAAGATAGTTAGAACACCTTACACAGCCTTCTTAGCAAATCCCCTCCAAACTCTCAGGCCTTTCTCTTCGTTTGGTATAACACTACCAGTAACAAAACAAACTCATTAATTTTTGTTTTGATTTGGCTTTATGTAATATCTCAAATTGTTTTCTGCACAAAGCATACAGTTTAGAAAGTTTGTAAACTAAAATTGGCACTCACTGAATTAAAATATAAAATCATGTAAACATAACTCAGCGTTTGGGGAGTAATATTGCACTTATATGGAAATCACTGCCAGAGACAGTCCATTTTCTTCCCATTTGTTACTGAGGCACAAACCCTATTCCCATGCTCAAACTTGATAGTTTTCATCTGTATTATTGGTGGGAAGAGGTGCATCTTGGTTGGTTTTTTTCCTTTTTTTTTTTCTTATGGAAAACACATATGGATTGCTTAGAATTTGTGTAAGTGATAAGTCAGAGATTCTTGCTTTCAGAAGGGAGAGTGGTATACATAGAAGATGTCAAAGATGGCAGTATACACTTAGCATTGTTTCTGAAAGACTTAGATTGTAAATTTTCAGATTATAAGTCAGCTCTGTAGGAAAGAGGCACTGACCACTGCAGTAATATGGTTCACCACGTGCAGCCTGCTTGAGTTTTCTGCGTGCTGCACTTCTTTCTGTTTTGTAATAACCTGGTTTTATATGTATCTAACTGTTTTCTTTTGGTTGTTCAGAAACTGGATTCTTTTCTCCTAAGCAGTGCTTAATTTGTGTTTTTGAATTGATTGAGCAATAGCCCCGGTGCCACTGTTACATCCAGCACATTGACTAGGTTGCCCCATGGCTCTAATGTACACACGGTGTAGAAACCATGGAGTTAGGTACTTCCTGACTTTTTTTTTTAAATGAGAAAAATACTGTATTTAAAATGTAAAATAAACTTTTAAAAAGCAGGCACTAATATATATTTCTTCCAGCCTTTGATTACAAATTTGAATTTGTCCTTGCACATGTTAACATGAATTATCTTCAAAAAATATTGTTCTGGGAGCAATGTATGTTTCTTTACATAGCAGTTCCTGTCAGTTGTTCATGTCCAAACATATTTGGTTTTAAACTTTTTTTTATTGCCTTTGGCTGTTGATTAGTACAGTACAAGTGCAATTTCAAAAAAGATCTTGAAAGTAATATATTTAATCAATTAAAATGTTTATCTGTAACTTGTGGATTTTTTGTTACTGCGGTTACCCTCTGAAGTATTGTGCAGCATTTCATCATTTGGGCAGGACAAGCAGTGCTTTAGGTGGTCTTTTCTATTTATCTGCTTGAAAAACAACAAAGTGTGGCTGCACAGTGTTTCTGTGAGTTTTCTTAGCGAGTTAGGATAGAATTAAGTTGTACTGAGATTTAAGTTGTACTGGGTTTTTTTGAGCAACTGGGCTGTAAGCTTGTCTTTCCACACCACCTATGCACAGTGCAGGCCAAGGCCCTGTGATATGGCTGCTGGGTGGGGGCACAGACAGCAGTGTCAGGGACCCCGCTGAGATGCAGGGTGGCTGAGGTGTTTGGTTTTTCCTTTGGAATTGGAGAGACAGAGCGGGGCAGTCGTGTTGGTACTTCTGCCACAAGACCAGACTGAAGAGCAGTTACGAGAGCTGTGATGTCAGTAGCATGCTTCAGAGTCATACACCTGCCAGCTCAGTCAGATCATAAATGATGGCTAACGAGCCACTGTGGCCTGCAAAGAAACCATCTTAGTTCCATTCCCAGAGGTATTTTTTGTTCAGCACTTCTGTTAGCAACCTAAAAGCGTGTGCCTAGTTGTCTACTTGGTGGCAGAACAGATCTTAACTTTTTTTTGAGACAGGGTGTCTCTTTGTAGCCTAGTGGCCTAGAACTTGGAATCCTCCTGCCTTAGCTTCCTGAGTTCTGGGCTCACTGATGTGCACCATCACGCCAGCCATTACATATATTTACCTACGATTTGGGGCAGTGGAGGGTGGACTCTTGTCCTTTATTCCCATGCTGCTTTTGTGAGGAGAGGCAGACGAAGGGCTGGAGTGTGGCTTGGGTGAGTGCTGGCCTAGCATGCACAAGACCCCGGTTTCTATCCCCAGAACTGAGGGGGAGCGGGATGAAGAGCACATTAATTAAACTGCCTGCACTTACTAGTTAGCATGCCAGTTGTGAGCTGTGATTTCATTAGCTTCAGTACCAGGAAGTTAAGTGGCTGACTACCAGACCTGGCACTGCTCTGAGGCAGGCAAATGAGGAGTGTAAAAAGTAGAGTGGTTATTTCTTCTGTTAGAGCTGTGGTAGGAATTTGACTGTGATAAACTATCGTTCTCACAGTTTATTTCTGAAAAGAGCAAAGTGTACATTGAATTAGAAACGCTAATTGTTTTACTTTTCTATACAATAGCAATTTTTTACCATTCTCCAAAATTAACTGGAATATCTCCAGATAAAGTTGACACACTTTTTTTCTTTTTTGACATGGCAAAATACAGAGCTGTGCACATGTTTTCCTAAGGTCTGCATTTTGCAACTTGCATGTTTTGGAAAGCATTTCCTGACAGTGAGTACAGGTTGAGTATCAATATCCTAATGCTGGAGACCAAATGTTTCTGATTTCAAATTTTTTCAGACTTTAGAATATTTGTACCATCAGATATCTTGGGGTTGGGACCCAAGTCTGAAGATGAAATTAAGTTATGTTTCACTTATGCCTTATACACATACTCTGAAGATCATTTTATACAAGAGGTTTTTTGGGCTTTGTTTTTCTTTTTTGGTGTGACTGGGGTTTGAACTCAGGACCTTGTGCTTGCTAGGCAGGCTCTTCCACTTTAGCCCTTTCTGCTTTATTTTTCAGATAGGGTCTTGCATTTTTCCCCCAAGCCAGCTTGGCAGCTTGGACCTTAATCCTTCTACCTATACCTCCATGTAGCTGGGGCTACAGGTGCACCTCTACACCAGGCTTATTGCTTGAGGTAGAATCCCAGTGACTTTCTGCCTGGGTTGGCCATCATCTGTGATCCTGGGATCTTCCTGATCTTGTTTCCTGAGGTGGACACGGTGCCTTGCCAATAAATTTCATTTTATATGAAACTGTTTTCCTCCCAGTTTACCATCAGTCTTCATTCAGTCGTGTGTGTGTGTGTGTGTGTGTGTGTGTGTGTGTGCACGCAGCTGTTCCATTTCTTCCGAGGGAGCTTAGGTGGTTTGTGTCTCACCGTCTGCACCATCATCAGCATATGTATTTTTGTAATGGTGTCTAAAATTCATTCCCATTGGCAATTCAAGTTTTTTTCTGATTGAATTGAGGTTTGACAATGGTCTTTTTAGAGAATCAAGTATTGGTTTCATTGGTTGTTTTTTGGTTTTGTTTTTTCTATTTTTTAATAAATGTAATCAATTTTGCTCTTACTACTTTCCTTTTGTTTGTTTTGGATTTAATTTTCTTTTTCTGCCCCCTCCAAATTCTTGCAGTAGAAACAGGTGATAGATTTGAGTTCTTGCCCTTTTTTCTAATCATTAAAAGCTATAAATTCCCATGTGTTGCATTTTTTTGAATCCTATAAATTTTGACACATTCATTTTTGTATTTAGTTTAAAATGTCTGATTTACTTTGATTTCTGCTTTGGTAAAGGGGTTATTTAGAAGTACATTTTAGTTCTAAATACATGGAAATTTTCCATGTTTTTCTATTAGTGATTTCTAATTTAATGCCATTTTGGTCAGAGGAAATATTTTGTATGACTTCCATCCTTTTAAATTTATTGAGACTTATTTTTGTGACGGAGTAGTCTTGTTCATGTTACATGTCCACTTGAATTGTACAGTCTGCTGTCCTTAGGGGGATGATTATCAAGCAGGTTACATTGGTCAGTAGGAGAGAAGGATTCCAGGGAGGCAGGGGATTTCCTGCCTGTTCTGCATGCCCCTGCTGCCGCAGCCTCCTGCAGTGCCATTCTCTGGAACTCCATCCTGGAAAAAAGTTTGCAAGTGAGCATAAGTTCCCCTGTCAGGGCCTCTCAGCTCTTGATAATTGACGCATTCTCCCACAGTTGGCCTCAAACTCAGTATGGCTCATCTCTGCCTTTTTCTTCCATGCTTGGCATGCTCCGTGCATCCTTCTCTGCTCAAGTGGGCTTGCCACCCTTGGGATGCAGTGTGGTGGCTTGGCTACAGCGTTCACATGGCCCCAGGAACGGGTGATCTGGAATGCTTGTTAATGTAGGAGCACCCTGCTCTTACACTCACCTGTATCTCAAAAGTGGTTCCAGGTGAAATAGTTCTTAGAACCTTTCTCTTGTAGCTTGTTGATAATTGTTTTGCATATTGAGCTTATTCCCAGCAGTTTTTAGAATAAGTTATTCTAGCCTGAAGTGATTTCACCCTTATTCTCTCCAGCCTTAGAATAATAAAGCTTTTTGACATTAGCGTTGAGGCATGGCATTTGAACTAATCTGGTAACAGATTGGATTTTTGGGGTTTTTTTTGTTTTTGTTTTTGTTTTGTTTTGTTTTTTGGTAATAAAGTATATATATAAAACGTAAAATTTGCAATTTTAACCATTAAAGTGTATACCTTTGGCATAACTATTCATGTTTTACAGCCCTCATCATTATTCATTTTACAGAATATAGTCATCCCAAACTGAAACTTTATACCCATTAAACAAAAACTCAGGCAAAAACGAGAGCTCCCTGTTCTCTCCTTTTCTTGGTGACTGCCCTACTACTTTCTCGTGTTCTAGATGGCTCATCTAAATAGAATCATAGCATAGTTGTTCTTTTGTGACTGGCTTATTTCCCTTAGCTTACATTTTTAAGGTCTATCCATGTTGTAG